AATGATGTCAAACACAAGCTTCCAAAAATGGCATTGATTGCTAGAAAGTTGTTAGCTATTCCTGCTACCAGTACAGCTAAAAAAGAGTTTTTTCAGCATGCGGCATGACATTGAGTGACCGTAGGGCTAGGTTGAATCCAGAAACATTAGAAATGTTAATGTTTTTAAAACATAATATGCAGCCTTGAAATCTTTAAATATCATTCACTCACATTTGTCAATAGATTTGTGTACTTTATTTTGTATATTAAAAGAGAAATTATTATTGCCTTTATTGTTTCATTAATTTAAAGCTATAATTTCAATCAATCTACTAGTTTTTATTGCGACTAATTAAGTCGATCAAAATCTCATCGAACCGAACCCGAACTTGTTGAGACCTGACAGAACCGAACCCGAACTTGTTGAGACCTGACAGAACCGAACCGAACCCGAACTTTAGGCCTGACTGAACCGAACCGAACTCGAACTTTGGACTCGACCGAATCGAACCGAACCCGAACTTTGGGCCTGACCGAACCGAACCCGAACATCAAAGGTAGGGTTCGATTCCCATCTCTAGATGTAAATGTCTACTGGAAGGTGTTAAGGCAAATGTTAATTCTGCTGTAATACAATGTTCGACATGTGGTTCTGCTTTGTACGCCACTTGTAATGAAATTAAAGTTGATTTTTTGACATCCATGAATGGTTGTTATAGCAAAATGATATTTTGTGATTCTTGTTTGCCACTTTTTTAAGCACCTTGACAAATCCGACGATATTAATAATAGTGGGTGTATTGATAGGATCTTTAATGATCATCAGTCCAGGCAATCTGATATTACATCTATTAAAGTACCTTAGATAACATTGTCTCTCATGCTGTCTCTGGTTGAAGTATGAAGAATGAAATTGATTCATTCAGGAATGCCATTAAAAATGAAATTGCATCTATCAAGAACATTTTAACAAACGTTATTTCTACGGTTAATGCTAATACAAACTTTAATGATGACATCAATTTTTTGAAAAAAGATGTTAACACTGTTTTTCAAAAAGAAATAGCGTCTATTAAAAATTAACTAACAGAGGTCTTCAAAGGTTCAAACTGAACTTGACTCCTTAAAGAACGATATAGAGAAAAGCTGGTCAGGTTTGTCCAAAAAGGAGATTGATAATGGCACTAAATTGATCCGTTCTGGAGTTAAACAAGTTACCAGAAAACTTGATCACGATGCTGAGCTTGAAAGGCGTGAAAACAATATTATAATTTTAAACTTCAGGGAAGGTGATACTATTAAAAAGTTGAAGATAGTATAGTGAATTTATTAATTTATTAACAAATTGCCATAAATAATTCCGAAGTTAAATTAACGAGTGCAGTTTCAGTCAAATGGGATCAACGACAACCAGACTGGCAAGATGAAAGAAAACCATTAACGAACACCAGCAAAGCAATTGCTTGTTGACAATTTTCTCAACAATTAACTAAAGTATTTTTATCAAGGTTTGGCTTTTTCAAAGTGGGGACAACCACGGCATGTTTCAGCAACGAAGAAAACTGTTAGGTAAACTGACAATATGTGATAAAAATGGAAGAAATAAATCAATGTATTTCCTAACAACATGGAGTGGCACCAGATCAAGCGAAGAACGGCTAGACGGGGAGTCAAGTACAATTTTATGAATATCAGCGCCAGGAGTGCTAAAATGCCGATAATGAACAGGTTCCACTAATATCCAACACATCAGTACATCCCAAATTCCGGCAACATCAGAGTGTATCTTTGGTATGCCAAGCTTTCTATGAAAAGAAAGTAGCAGCGTTATTTACGTTGAAAAAAAACTGCACCTAGAAGGCACAGTACGTTTCATTAATCTTGTGAGCACGTAGTTCAAGATAATGAATATCAAAAACCGGTGCAGTGCTGTAAAACTTTGTGACGGCGCCAAAACACAATGGCAGTTCTTCTTCAGAAGCTCTTAGAAATTTGCGACGTCATTGCAAGCTGTGATAATGGGTTGGTGTACCACAATATAAGCTCAAAAATTTTTACAGCTGATGCATTTGCGGCAGTGACCAAATTCAACGTCGCTGCTGCTGAGGTACTTCTTTCTGACCATCAGTTCCAGTATGTGCTGTCTTCAGTTCAGCATTAGGTCAAGATTCTTTAGAAAGGTTTTTTTGGCAGTGCCATGCAACTGTGAGGTTGAAATTTCTACATCAATATCACAGACGATCTGGCAACTGCCAAAGTTCAACGTTTACAGCAACTTGCAAAGTTTGATGTACTAGTACCTGGTGGTCATGTTCGCTAATGACAACCGATATTCTTGATAAAAACGATCGGAAGAAAGAGTTGGATTGTTTAAGACGTCAGAAGAAACTTTCAAATGAAAAAATAACTTGAAAAACACTTTTAAAAATTGAAAAAAGCTATTTTTTGCCAATAATTAAATTGATAATAATTAATTAATTAAAAATTATTATCACAGGTGCCAGGTGGTACAGGCAAAGTATGGTGGAAATTTAATGTGCATACAATATGTTACAAAATTGCAACAGATTATAAAAAATTTGGAAGATTTTGTTAAAAAAACAGTAAAAGTTGGAAATTTGTCTACAAAATGTGTTTAATTTTTAATAAAATATTTTAATGTACACAAGTCTTGTTTGTATAAAACACCTTTGTTGAATGAGTAAATGGTTTACACCAAATTTTAGTAAAGAGGTTTGATCTCTATGCAAAGTAAACCCATGTTTGAAATACCAATCAACTCAAGTTTGAAATACTGAGTATGAGCAATGTCAGTCCATAATTTATGATGTCTGTCTATACTGGAATGGCTTTATCACAATTTTTCTTGGCTGGACCGCTGGAAACAATTTTTTCACTAAAACCGATTATAAATTCATTTCAATATTAACAAAAGTAACAACATCTTAACATTAAGAACAAGTATCCATGGCTCATAAGTTCAAATTACAAGCTTGGTTGCAACGATTGCGCAAGTATAAAAACCTCAAGTGTTTCAAAAGAATCCATATTTTTGTAAAATGGAGTAATTCCCTATTTGAAGCTACAAGTAATTTGTGAAAATAAATTATCAAATATCTGTATCAAAATTAAAATCCATTATAAATCTGAAGCTCATGGAAAAGCTAAAAATATATACAAAAAAAGACAAAAAATATTTTAGGGGAACATGTAAATACAATGAATATTGCAGCATAAAATGAAAATATCAAACTATTCAGAACTCACAGAAAATATATGCTTATGCAATCTAGTATAACTATATAAATTTTGAACACAATGACAACATAATATATACACATACATAACAATTTCCAGTAAATTCTAGTAAGGAAGATTGAAAAGATAAACTTTAAATTGATTAACGCCAACAGGTAGAATTCATACAATACTGTATTTAATATGGTCTCTTTCCAACATATATACATATATATATATATATATATATCGTATTGTATTGCAGAATTTGTACAGCGCCTCTTGTGAGTTGACTTCAGAAGCACTCTCTACTTCCTTGGCTGTTGAATGTTGAAACAATGAGTCTTTAGCCGTTTTTTGAATTCATTTCGACCCATGATGTTGAAATTCTTTAGATCAGCAGGCAACGAATTCCAAATCTGCGCAGATGCTACTGAAAATCTTCTTTTTCCAAAATGAGAAGATATGAACTTAGGAATGTGTAGGTCACTGCGGCTTGATGATCGTAGTCGACCCCCTATATTGAATCTTGTTACAAATGAAACTGCAAACAAGAGCTTTTGTGGAGTCAACTGTCAAACATCGTCCGATGGCTGTTAGTTTTTGTAGCTGGAAAAAACATTTCTTGCATAGTTTATTTACATGAGACTTCATTGAAAGGTCTGGATCCATAACCACACCTAGATTTGTCACTGGATCTTTGAACCTGTCAACCTGAAGGAGTTTATGAAGTGTTCCTAGCCACATGTATTGCATTTTGTTGATATTTAGCTTTAATTTATTTGCTGTCATCCATTCTCCTACTGCTTTTACAGCATCTGTGACAGTTGTAGAGAGTTGATAAGACAAGCTCGCAGACCCAGATCTGTATAGTTGAATGTCGTCAGCGTACAAATGGCAACGAGCACCTGATGATTCCACAACGCTGACTATATCAGCAGTGTATAGTATATATAACAGAGGGCCAAGGACAGAGCCCTGCGGAACACTGCAGGTAATTTCTGACGTAGCTGTGTCTGCACCTTCCCCAACGATGACAACCTGTATTTTGTCTGTCAAATAGGACTGAAACCAGCTAAGTGCGTCCCCCGTTACACCATATGAGACTGAGAGTCTTTCCAGCAAAATATCATGATCAACAGTATCAATATATCTATATTATATTATATATATCCTAAATAAACAAAAAAATGTTCTATCATATAATTTACCTAAATTGGATTAATAACATGTTTTGTCTTATCTTTTTCAACAAATTTATCATAATAGTCCCATGCACTTTATGTTGAATTTACGACTGCAGCCCTAGATGGTAGCACAAATGTGTTAACAATTGTTTTTCTTTTGTTAGATTTTTGCATAATATTGAATGTACCAGCTGTCAGTAGAAGATCAAGGTTTGGGCAGAAGTAGTCAAGATAGGTTAATCTGGCCCTGGCAAATGCAAAAACTTAGGTGTTTTATCAAATTCACACACAGGCAACTGAATGCAGCCAGCACATTAAACTGAATTTGAAAAATTTAAGACGAGAACGAATGCAGCCATGCTAGAATAACAAAAAAATAAAATGAATAAGCATACCAAGTATCTTATACCAAAAAAATGTGAAATATTTGCACACAACATAGGTTTTTTGACTTTTTAACTGTTTCTTTTTCAAGTAAAAAGTGTGATTTAAAGTAAACTTTCTCTGCGCTGAACTTTTATAATTTTTATAAATTAATTAATTAATAATTAATTAAAAGTAAAAATAATAAACAAAATAGTCTAAAATTATTAACCATGGTCCTTTTCCGTGCGTTCTCACTGCACCACCGGCTTCTTTTCCTTTATTGTGCTGATTTATACGTCTGTTGGGATTGACCGTAAATCCAATATACGTTCGTCCTCTGTATTTCGGATTTAAGCAATAAAGCAAATAGACTCCGTAGAAATTCATAATATTGAACTTAGCTTTAAAGTTTGGCCCATATATAATCGACCTATATATTTTTAACAGAGATACCATGGGAGACCAAATTGAGTTGTGCTGTGCGAGTCTATGGTGATGAATAAATGCTCTGGAGGTAGTGTTATTCTAGTTTATGATGAGTTGGAATGATCCATGGAGGATTTTAAGTGACAGACTGCATTGTTTTGACCATGTAGTTAATTTTGATTGGATGACTTTTATGTTGGATGAACACGGTCTACGTGATATGCAAATTACCCTTTAACAGTCTTTTCTTTTTGTGCCTTATCCCTTCAAGATATTGGCGACCATCGACCTCTACAAAGCTTGATCTATAACACTTTTGTGGTGAAATTCAACAAGTTACACAAAGACTTCACGAAAGTAATTCATTGTCGACCGCGATCTTTTCTCCCAGCAATCTTTCCAGTAGTTGTTTGACATTTCATTCCTTCCTTCTGCATGATAACTGGACTGTTTCAATCATGAATATATATATAAATATGATAATAATAATAATATATCCATGGTTTTAATACATCCTCATAGGAAGTATTAGAGGTCCAATTAAATTTCTCTAGAAATCTTCAAAGACTCAGAGTCGTAAGTATACACCATTAAATTATATATATTTATATAATTCCATGGTGTACACAGAAAAAAAGTAACACTCTATTTTTATTTTTTAACAGCATATTATCATATGTCCTTAACAGAAAATACGCTAGAAACACATATGCTAATGACCTGTTAGCGCAATATGGTAATTATCCGTTTGAAACTTAACGTGCGTTTTTGTTGTTGGTTTCGCCAGCTTTCAACGGTGTCTCCTGTTAGAAACTGAACGTGAATAATTAAAGCGTGACGTATCAGTAACCGCACCGACGGAATATTGATGTCGTCTGAACGGTATTTTTTTAAATTTTATTATTTAGTGAAGCTGCAAGCAGTTAACGAAACCGATGCAATTCTTTCAGACTAGCCAAATGGAGATACAAGAAATAGCAATTATAAATATAAACTAACTATTACTAAAGTCATTATTAAATTGCACTAGTTAAAATTTGAGAACATAAGTTATAAATAGCTTATTAGTAATAGAATCAACAAGCAAATCTGCCACATTTTTCATTAACTTCTGTATTTTCATTTATTAATTAATATGTAATTATACATAAACTCTAAACTGGTTAAATGTTAAAACCTTTCTTTCTTTACTTTACATTTTTACAATGTTTTGACCATTACTAATACCCTTGATTGATGTGATGTATATTTCAGATATGACTGTAAAGGATTTTATTATGCAGTGATGGAAGACATCTTGGAGGAAGGAGAGATAACATGTCCACATACAATAGCAACGTTTGAAGTGGCACCCTCAGTCCAGGGTTCTTCACATAACATGTTCAGTAGCTATGAAAGTGAACACGGGGCTAATTTTAAGTCACACTGTCTAGTCACGTCATCATTTAACAAGCAACTCATTGACCAGTTAGAAAAAAGACATTTACAAAACTCTATTCTTGACAAAGCAATTGAAATTGAAAATCTATCGAAACAATTGGATCATGCCAAGTCACTTATCGCTAATTTGAAACAAAATTTTGATACCCATTCTTACAATTGTAAATAGCAACAACTTGTATGTATTTCAAATAATTTTCCCATTGTTTTAAAAACATTGATCATGAAGGTTTATCAAATTTTAATTTAAAAAAATTGAATAAATGTTGTATACTAAATTTTAAAAATGATAATTTGGATGATGTGATACAGTCAAATTGTAGCAGCGTTTTGAGAGTTGTCAGGACTAACACTCACAATATAATGCAAACTACATTAGCATTTTATAAACTTCATCTTCGAGACTGTACAATATTATGATAGAAAACCTGAAAATTATAAGTTAGTGTATTAATAGCAAGTTAAAAACATGAAACATATTTATTATACATTGTACTTAAATTTAGATTTGTCAGTGGAAGTTCGTTAATGGATAACCTACAGTAGCCATAAAAATGTAAGCTTTAAAACGTCATGTCACCATACTCAAAAATGTTTGGTGACTGTTTTTTAACTGAACCCCTAGATCTTCATTTAGTGTATAATAGTGGCCATTTTGTCTGGAGCGGCTAAGACATCATGAATAAAATTAACACAACCTAACACATTTTAAAGAATGAGCATGCAATTTTTTAGGCGCTTTTTGCAAACTTGAGGGCGTTTAAAAATTTTGTTTAGTTGATAGATTAAATACTAGAGATGACCCAATAGTACGTTTGGCTGAATTGTTGATCCACTATTTGGCTAAACCCAACAGCAAATACCAAAATCAAAAGGTTGAAAAAAATTCCCATTTTATACATTGAAAAAAGCTGTTGAGAAAATGGTTTATCGGGATAATATGAATTCTATCAATCAATCTTCGTTTTGCGTCCAGAGACCCGGTTTCCCGAGGTAGGACGTAATATAAATTCTAATGTTCAATTTCTAATTTTTGTAACAGCTATGACAGCCAGAACAAATTGACCGCTAATAAAAATCAATCTATGGCCAGGAAATAAAAAAAATAGTGGTGGCTAGAACAGAAATTGCAATGTTATTCAACAACAACAACAACACACGTTTAGACGACATTTTCCCCGATTTTCGGGGGTTGCCGTTTGGCTACCTATGATGAAACCGAAATACCCCTCGACGCCATTCCATCATAAGTAATTTATTTGGCTAATTTTTATGCAGGACGCCCTTCCTTACGCAACCACAGTTATAAGCGGTGGGCCTAGCCTTTGATGATCCAACATCACTCACAAGGCAGTGAGGGTCAGTTTAATGTCATAACCAGGACAGAAATTGCAATGTTATTCGGTCGTTGAAAATGGCCGAAGCCTGAATTTCGGCTGAATACTAGGCGCGATATTAAATACAAAGAGTCGAATACTTCATCTTTGAATTGCTTCGGCGAATTTATCAAGTGATTGATTCAAAAGAACAAAAAAGACTAAATAAATTTGCTATGTTGCGGGATGCCCTTATAAAAAAATTCTTTCATCTGCAGTAAAATTCAGGATGCTTTCATGGGGTTGTGCCGAAAGGTGACGCGTGTTTTGAGTTGAATTTGAATTAAAAAGAAAGTTGTTTAACTTAATTTTATAAATAATAGTTTAATATTTGACTGTCAAGATGAATGGTTAAAAGTTTCTGACACAACACTAGTTTGAAAAATGAATAAGTAAACTAAGGGTAATAATTAGAAAATTACGGTTATAGTTCTGCATTTGTTTTTTTTTATAATGTTTAATAATATAAAAGCGAAATACATACTGGTTGTTTTTGAACGTCAAAGAAGCGATGTCGTGGCCGATTTTCTGAATATATTTTTTCTCCTTTTGAAATCTGAAGTAAATGTTCATATAAAGTTTAAATCAAACTTTTGAGATACAGATTAAGATGTATGATCGTATAAAATTGATGAAAAAAAGATTTTGTTGCTATTTAGCACTAAAAAAATAAGGAAAGAAACCAATTTTATTTAAAGGAGCAAAATTAAGAGAACAAAAATCGAAAACATTATTGGAAATATTCATTGCCTCCAATTAGATCAGTTTAAAATAACTAATTTTTCTTAGTGTAACAAGGCTAAAGTGCTCGCCTATTTTTCCTTGATTGCTACATTTTTTCATAAATAGCCAAAAACGACTGCAAAAACAGTAGTAACTTGAAAGTTTAAAGTCAGACTACGTGGGTCTGATTTACGTTTTTTGCGTTGGCAAAACAATTTATGATTTTTTTGTATATGAAATCGGTATTAGCTACAAAAAAATTTGCGGTCTCCACAAGCACTCACATGACAGTTAAGAAAATAAAAACTTGGTTTCGGAAGAACAGATTTTCTAGTGACTGATTAAAAACTTAAAACAAAGACAACAAAAACAGATGACTTGAAATATCGCTTCTAAAATTTCCAGCTGACATGTGAATATCACATTTCGAAAGGTGAATCATAAGAAATAAAAGCTCAAGAAAAATATGTACAGGTTGGTATAAATGTTATAATTTCCGGAAATAAATATGAAGAGGTAAGGAAAACATTTGCCTCAGAAAAAATTCAACAATGGCTTTAAAAGAGCTTCTTGTTGACAATGTCTGAAAAATTTATGAAGAACTTTTGGCATTACATTAAAATTACGGTTAAACATATTTACTCTTTGCAGATGCTATTTATGCTGGCTGTTAAGGAAGATTCGTCTTTAAGCTGGAAAGATTAATTAGCGCAATTTTATCAAAAAATATAAAAATATAACATTGTAAAATAATAAGAAAAGCTCTTACATCAATTGCAGCGGCTATAGATTTCAACATATATTTTGATATTTCAGCTAACAAAATATGAATAGGACCTTTTTTGAATTTTGAAAGCAACTGTTTCATGCTCGATAGAATCTGAAACAATTAATTTTCATTAAATTAATCATATCATTTGAATTCATTTTTACAGTGAATGAGTAAAATCATCAAATATGAAATAAGAGAGAAAGTGAAGATTATTAGTATCTTGTCACTTGTCAGTAATAAAATATCACTTATATTTAATTAAAAATGTTTAATTTTATTCCTTCTTTGAAGACATTTTTTAAGCTTTTATTTTAGTCAATAATTGCTGCAACAAATCTCAAATTTGTATTTTCCAAATTGCTTTTCAGATGGTCAAATTAATTTTTGTTATTTGATTTTCTATCTGAAATTAAACTATTTAGTCACAGTTAAGGAAAAAATTTTAAATTCAAAAAACAAAATGTTTTTCACTCATTACCAATATTTCATTAGAATTACCATTTTTACAATTGTATGGCTCGAATACTTTAAAATCGATAGTGGAATAAAATACATTAACAAAATTTTGTTTCTGTGACAAATCGTTCATTACAAAAAAAGGATGAAGGTCAAAATCTTTGTAGGGCAAGAAAGAAAAAAGATTTGAGGATATTAAAAAGTCCAGAAAATAGAAAAATTGGTGTAGCCCCGAATTGATTGTCAACGTTCCTGTCAGTTTTTTTTGGCTTTTCTATTCCTAGTGTAGTCACAATGATGTTTAAATGAATTCGACGAAAATTGCTTAAGCTTAAGCCTGAAGACAGAAGTAATATGGCCTAGACTGAACAGGAACAGCTCTGTTATCGGCCAAAACGACGTCCCCACCAAGGTAAAAAAAAATTGCAAAAAATTGAGAGTGATGTTTGATAGCGAGTAATGTTCATGGCTCATGTAGAGCAACACACATGATTTTGTGAGGAGTTTGATAGAAAGGAACATCCGCCTAGAGATGTCTTTCGTTTTTTGGTTGCAAAATTTGTTTGAGACTAGACTGGAATAATGCATTATGTGATATTAGTAAACAAAATTATAATAATAAAAAATGAAATAATTTTCAAAAATAGATTTCCAAAAGACGACAACATTTGAATACCTTGTTAGATTGCTTATATGCTGATTGAGAACCAACTAATCTTACATCAACAAATTGAAAGTCTTCATTCAAGTCTTCAACATTATGAACGGTCTGATTACTTTTGATGGGCGTGATGGCTGTGCTCTCTTTGCTCTTGTTAAACCTAAATGCATATGTTTAATTATAATAAATAACTAATAGAAACGTATTGCCATTATACAGTAAAAAATTAACTTTGTTTTTAGAAAGTTGTGAAATTCCGATTCACTGTTTTGTTTAAAAAGCAACCGGTCTTTATCAGATTCAATCTTGACAATAATAAAAAATTAAAACAATTACAAATTATTAGCATAGTTAACTGGAAAATTTAACGAAGAAATCATTTGGAAATTAACATTGAAACCTACAAACTTACTTTGTAAATAAGCATATCATTCTCCAATATTATGAAATAAGGCACTTGGTGCACTTTGCAGTATAGTTTTAAACTTTCAACATTGGGATTAGGGTCTTCATGGTTATCATATATTCTGCACGGCACATTCAAATCCCAAAGTATTTGTAATATGTTAAATGTATGTATGTTGTTGAAACATGATTGGTTGTTCCATATAATAACTTGAACATTTTCAATTGTAAACTTCGTTTCACTCATTGACAACTTCATTGAAACTGACAACTGAAAACAACCATTAAAAATATAAAAAATAGGTTATAACAGATTTCAAGTCATTAATTTTCAGCTTCTCAAACTAAATACGCCCCTAAATCCGTGACACTTACTGTCTTTGAAAAAGTATTTAAGCTAAGTAAACCATAAGCAAAGCAAGCATATAACATCACAAATTATGGTCTATTACCAATATATATATATATATATATATATATATATATATATATATATATATATACATATATATATATGTATGTATGTATGTTTTCTACATCAGCATGTAGAAAACACAGTTGAGGTAGCTTCCATTTTAACTTCTTTGGAAGAATCCACTCAGCCAGTCGAGCCAGTCACGATGGGCCCTTCTCAGCTGGTCGAACCACATAAACAACAACAAGCCTCATCGATGATGAGTCCTCCCTCCGATGTCAATTCTGCGACATCAATAAATCACGACAATGGCTGTTAACAATACTTATTCCACAATCAATTCTATCCAACAACATCCTCAACCATCAAACAACGACGAAGATGATCAACATTTAACGCATACAACACCCACATCGACCCCACAAAGAACCTCCTAGATTCATTCACCAGACAGTCATCCTACTACACCACAAGAGATCTACTCAACATTCTAGAAGCCAAGTACATCAACAATCATGATCACCCTCTACCTCTACTTCACATAAACAGTAGAAGTCTTTTAAATAAAATTTCTGACATTTTAATTTTAAATAAATTTTTATCTTATTTTTTCCCATTATTATTATTTCAGAGACATGGCTGAATGACGAAACCGCTAAACTAGTTCGTATGAATGATTACAATTTTGTTTTTAAAAATAGGTCTGACAGAATAGGTGGTGGAGTCGGAATCTCCATCAGATCAGGCATTGAATTTTCTATGATAAACAATTATTCCAGAGTTAAGATAGTGAGTTAAGATAGTATTCAAAACAGAGCAGCAGTCGTTGACATTTTTTAGAGAAGTCTTGCTCACTCATCGACAATATCTTTATCTGGAACGACACCATTATTGACCTTCTTGGTGTCAATTTAAAATTAAACAACACACACGTAAATATTTTAGCAGCATATAGACCCCCCAACACTGACCCTAATATCTTAATCCAAAAGCTCAAACTTATTTTACCCACACTCAAGCCACACATAAAGAGCTATTTAATTGGCGACTTTAACCTTGACCTCAATAAACTCAACAGTGACAACGTCGTTGCTGACTTCTCTAACCTACTATCATCATACAACTTCTTACCTCTTATAACCTCCTCTACTCGCATCTCAACTTCTTCTTGCTCACTCATCGACAATATCTTTACTAACAATCTAACTTCTCACTTATCTGGAATAATTCTGTCTGACATATCTGACCATTTCCCTATATTCGCCATCGCTTCCAAATCAGAAATCTCAAACCATGCCCCTATTAAGCACTTCAGAAACCTAACTGAAGAATCTATAAACAACATCAACAATTTTTTATCAAACTACAACTGGAATTCTTTGACTTCTCTAAAAAATGTCTTTGACTGCTGCTCTGTTTTGAATACTATCTTAACTCACTCTCTAGACATTTTTGCCCCCCTCCGTCCTGTCAAAAACAAAAAATGCTGGATCAATGACAACATTCTAAGTCTTGCAAAAAAGAAAAACAAACTATACATCATAAGCCTTAAATATCCAACCCCCCGCAACATTGCCACCTACAAAAGCTTCAGAAACATGTTCACATCTATTAAACGAAAAACTGAACGAGACTACATCTCTAACAAACTTGAAGACGCACATAACAATGTTGGACAAAAATGGAACACTATCAAAGAAATTCTAACCAAGCAACCTCCTAACTCATCAATCACCAAACTAACTATCAACAACCAAGCAATTGAAAATAAACAAGAAATATGTGACCTTCTCAACACCCACTTTGCAAACATCGCTAGCCAACTACTCTCAAACCAACCTCCCAGCTATGGTAGTCCTACAGATTTTATGAGCCCATCCACACCCCATTCCATTTGTCTATATCCTGTTACTGAACAAGAAATATTAACTACTATTAATATCTTGAAAAACAAAAAGAGCTATGCAGACGATGGACTCAACATGTTCCTTATCAAAAGCATAATTTTCTCTATCATATCACCACTTAATCATATCTTCAACTTATCACTAAGCACTGGAATTTTTCCTGACTCATTTAAAATAGCCAAAATCATACCAGTATTCAAGAAAGGAAACAAAGATGACATTAACAACTACAGACCCATCTCCATTCTTTCCCCGCTGTCAAAAATTCTTGAAAAACTTTTCTTTAAAAGACTCTCTAATTTCTTCTGCTCCAACAATATTATCTGCAATAACCAATACGGATTCAGACCCAACCACTCAACTGAGCTTGCTATTCTTGACTTCACTCAGCATATACTAAATGAAATGAATAACAAAAATCTTTCTATTGGCATTTTCCTGGACTTATCCAAAGCCTTCGATGTCATCGATCACAAAATACTCCTATCCAAACTACATCATTACGGAATAAGAGGCACAGCTCACAACTGGATGAGAAGCTATCTTTCATCACGGACACAATATGTTTCCATGGACAACATCAATTCAAAACACGCTCTTATTCATCACGGGGTGCCACAAGGATCCATACTAGGACCCCTTCTATTTTCTACCTACATAAATGACCTCTGCAATGTTTCGCCCTCAACCAAATGCGTACTGTTCGCAGGCGACACCAACCTTCTTTTTACTTCCAACAACCTACCAGATTGCTCTGAACATATCAATCTTGAACTCCAAAAATACTCTAACTGGTTATCCAATAATAAACTAATCATAAATTATTCGAAATGTGCATACATTATTTTTGGCCCAAAAATACTCACCAACCAAGCTACTAACCTAAACCTATTAGTTAATGGTGTTCCTATAAGCCGCACCCTGTCTACCAAATTTCTTGGAATCACCATCACAGAAAATCTTTCATGGAATTCTCACCTACAAACTACCTCAAACAAAATCAACAAACTCACAGGCATCTTCTACAAAATCAAATATAAACTCTCTCTTTCTGCTCTTCGCACGCTTTATTACACATTCATCTACCCTTATCTAACCTACTGCATCACACTATGGGGAAATAGTCCAAAAAGCCACCTGAATAACCTAATACTTTCCCAAAAAAGATCAATACGTTTAATTTTTAACCTCAAACCCGATTCTCATACTAAACCCTTCTTCCTAGCAAAAAAAATTTTACCAGTTAACTTCATCTGTCTTTACTATTCTGCTTTATTCGTTTTTAAATTTATCAACAATCTTCTCCCACCTCACTTTATCAACTTCTACACATTAAGTAACTCCGTTCAATCTACAACCACTAGACACACCCTTCTCTTCTATATCTACAAAACTCGCCTCAAATTAATCCAGACAAGCATAAAAATAACAGGTCCTAAAATTTGGACAGAACTTGTACCTCCCCATCTAAGAGCCATCATAAACCTACAACATTTCAAGTCAAAATTCCGTGCTATTTTATTGACACTGGATCTCGACTCCACCACCTAATATTATATTAAGAATACGTTAGAACAAATGATGCGGACGAATGGTCTTTATGAATGGTTAAACATTTATGTGTTTATATATGTACTGAGCGAACATTTACATAGTTATATGTCTATATATGTATGACACGAACATTTACTTATTTATCTTCAATTATCTTTCTGCTTCAGTTATTTTCCTTATTTTATTTCATTAATTATTCATGTATCTACCTGCGGTGGCCACCACAAGACAAACAGTCTTATTCGGTCTCCGCATATTCAACTTCATAACTTTTATTCACTTATTTGATATGTTGTTGATTATGAATAAAACTTTGAAAATGAAAAAAAAATGAAAATGTATGTATATATTTTCTTTCCTTTTCTTCATCGATAGCATCATATTCTTCTTTGTCACTATTTACGATGCTGGTTTTTAAATTTTGAACTTCAATTTTATATATATATACATATCAAATCAAATCACTTTTATTCAATCAAACAAAACAAAAGCATGAATGATTCGGAGACCAAAAAAAGAAAATTAATTCTTGTGGGCTCGGCCACCGTGCAGCTCAAAATGCTTCTCAATGATAAAATAAAATTGTCAATAGGAGAAAATGTATCAATGTTAATGAAATATGTACACACTTATATACATATATATACATATACATTATTATCCTTGAAAAACAGAACTTTT